GCCAGAGTTGGAGGTCATCCTCCTTATCGCCATACAAATGGTATCTAAAGAAGCCGAGAGCGGTCATCTTGTATTCAGTAACGTAATCCTTCACGCTCCTCGGCCCCCCTTCCAGGAAAGCCTCCACCTGAGCGTCCAAGATCGAGCTCTTCGGCGGGTCATGGAGATTGAACCTCCCGGTATGGCCGAGAGAGGGGAACTCGGTGCCACTCTCACCCAGGGATACGAAAACGAACTTACTCTTCCACCCATGAATGGACGAAGGCAAGTCCGTGAAGCTCCTCTTCTTCGGCAGCTGTTGAAGAGTAGCATAGGCCGCACAGTTCTTGTGGCTTCCTCTGCCGATCTTGTACAAATTCATGAATAGGGCCGTTGTCGGCCTGTAGCCCAGCTCCTCACACCGGAGTAAGAAGCCCACCATCAAGGAATAACTGTTCGGCGTCAGCAAGGCCGGAGGAAGCCCTACCATGTCCAGGTACTCGGTGATGAAAGGGTGAAGGGGGAACCTCAACCCCTTAGCAAAACTCATCGGGTATACTCCAAAGTATCCCGGTGGCGGAAGAAGAACATGGTCCGTCGGCCTGGGTGCCCTAACCCGCCCAAACGGCCCCACATACATCTGGGCAACAAGATAGTCGGCCGCGCTGCTCTCCGGCTTAATCAAAAAGATGTTGGTGAGATCCAGATAGGAGAGGCCCGACCCATTCTTCGGCCTCCTCACCCTCTTCGGCTTAACTGCTCCCTTCACAGCAGACACCGGCCTCGGGCAGGGAATGACAGCAGAAGTGGACGCCCCGTCCACCACTCGAGACGCACCTACGTCCTCACCTTTTGAAGAGGAGGCAGACTCCTCGTCCTCGCCTTCCTCGTCCACCGGCTCTTCGGATTTGTAGGGACTTAAATGCTCTATCTCCTCCTCGAACTCTTCGAGCACCTCGTAGTCAAGTGACCTCGTGGAGGGCTGGTCGTCGTAGGGGTAGTAGTCTTCGTTCAAGCTCTTCATAACTATTACTACGGGCCTAAGGAGACTAACTTAAGATCTAAGGGTGTTCAAACGTCTAACACTAGATCAATAGTCTAGGAAGCAAAATATGAAAAGTGAGGAAGATCGCGATGAACACTAACCTTGAACAACGAAGAACACGAAGAACAAGCTTGGGAGTTTATCTCTCTAGAAAAATGGCCAGCACTTCGACAATTCAGAATGCAAATGTGGTTTCTCGTCGGAGGGGGAGGGGTATTTATAGAACCCCCCACCCAACGGTCACTACACGTGGCACCCTCCCAATGGCCACACCAACGGCCACCAATGGGGGGCCACCACGTCACCAACGGGCCAATCTACATATCAAGAGCCCAATGCCGAATCAGACTCTACGGCCCACACGCTTACCGGCTTTACAAATGCCAGCAAGCGCCCACAACGTCCCACTTGCTCGCCAAGATCACAACTGCCAAACAATAAGGATACGGCAACGGCCAGGAACGTAACGGCCACAGGACCAAAGGAAACAAGAGCCCACAAGCCATCGGCTCCTAGTCATGACCCTTGATGATAACTCTCTACAAGCGATCTGCGCACAAGGGTTCTCCCACAGGGTTACCTTGGCCAGAAAATCGCCATGAGGGTTGGATTCAGGGGGACTACGGAGAGGCCGCTTCGGCCAGGGACTCAAGCAACTCCTTCACCCCTCACACTCTTCGGCCTGAAGCAGTGGGGGACTGGGGGACTACATCAGCCTCAACAAAACAAAGAGGAACAATGCAAAGAACATGAATGTAACCACAAAGCAGGGCCACATCGTCCACGCATCACAATGGACACATCGGCCAGAGGCACATGACATCATCAACAACGACCAAAAGGAGTGCGCGAGCACCCTCATCGGCCACCCAAAGGAAAGGACGCCATCGTCCTCAAAGCAAGGAACAACCTCAACGGCCTCATCGGCCCAAACATAAACTTCAACCACCAACGTCCAGGAAAGGGAAAGCGTGCCTTCAACGGCCGCCATTGAAACAAGACACTCATCATCCTCAGATGAACACATTAAGGAAACAACGGCCTCCCCGCCCACAGCGAGGGACAGGTAACGGCCAAAGCACAGAACAGGATCACCAAAGAGTAAACAACGCCAACGCCGCAACGGCTAACGGCCCGGGGATGCCCACATCGTCCAAAAGCACTAAAGCACGGGAATCTACTCTCCCTCACTTCGTCTACGTCTCAGCTTAGAGAGTGGAGGACTCCTGATGGAGTATATGGGTCTGAGCCCCCGGACCCACATACTCGGAAGAATAGAAAGCACAAGACACAGGGTGGCGCCCTCGTCGGCCAAGACGCCCCTGTCGGCCGAAAAGGGGCCAACTCGGATTATGGTCCTGAGCCCAAGGAACCCGGGTGCCCTCGTCGGTCGTGCCCTCATCGGCCGTGCCCTCGTCGGCCACGCCCTCGTCGGCCACGAAGACCTCCCAGAACCGGATTTTACACTTACTCATTTGTACAGCCCATTAGTGGCTTTGTATTCGGCCCAGTAGCGGTCCAGTTGTAAATGGGCCTCCCAAGCCCAAGACTTGGGAGCCCAGCCCGTATTTTCTCTATAAATACTCCCCTTGGGAGTAGTTATAGGGGTTACAAAATCATTCTATTGAAGCATATTATTGCACTTCTCTCTCTAGCTCTCACTTCTCTCTAGATATACCCTATCAGCTCTAATCCTGGGTTAGATTGATATCTACCCAACATACCAGATACATATGCGATATCTGGACGAGTACAAACTTGTGCATACATCAAGCTTCCAACTACGGAAGCATAAGGAATGAGTTTCATTTGCTCTTTCTCAACCTCGGTTTTTGGGCATTGGAATGACCCAAAAACGTCTCCCTTAACTACTGGAGCAACTGATGGAGAGCATTGTTGCATGTTGAAACGTTCTAAAATGCGCTCAATGTATGCCTTCTGGGACAGGTCTAACGTCCCTTTGACTCTGTCTTGGTGAATTTCAATGCCTATAACATAAGAAGCTTCACCTAGATCTTTCATGTCAAAATGGCCAAATAATAAGCGTTTTGTTTCATGCAACAAATCCAAGTCACTACTTGCTAATAAGATGTCATCAACATATAACACAAGTATGATGAATTTACTCCCACTCATTCTGAGGTAAGTGCATTGATCTACTTTGTTTTTAATGAAGCCATTTGATTTCATGACTTCATCAAATTTAAGGTACCATTGTCGAGATGCTTGCTTGAGCCCATAAATAGACTTCTTGAGTTTACACACTAGATGTTCTTGACCCTTAGAAACATAACCTTCTGGTTGTATCATATAAACATCTTCGTGTAAATCTCCATTTAAGAAGGCTGTTTTGACGTCCATTTGATGTAGCTCAAGATCAAAATGAGCTACTAAAGCCATAACGACCCTTAGGGAGTCCTTTCGAGAGACGGGTGAAAAGGTCTCTTGATAATCTACACCTTCCCTTTGAGTGTACCCCTTGGCGACCAATCTTGCCTTATATCTTTCAATATTTCCCTTTGCATCCAATTTGGTCTTGAAGACCCACTTGCTTCCAACGGGCTTATGACCCTTTGGTAATTCAGCAAGTTCCCAAACATTGTTCTTCTCCATGGAAAGAAGTTCCTCATTCATGGCTTCTTTCCAATGAGTCGATTGGTCACAATTAATGGCATCAAGGAAAGATATAGGATCTACGACTTTCCCTAAATCAAAGTTGGCTTCTTCATTCAAATATATCAAATATTCATCAAAATTTGTGGGGCGTCTGACCCTTTGAGATCTCCTTAAGGGTTGCTGATTTTCCAGAATTTCATTAGTAACCGGTGGAGTTGGTTCAACATTGATCGGAGTTTCATTCGCCTCTTGACTTGTTGCATCATTATTATGAGGTGTATGACTTTCACTATGATCTTCAAGTGAGGAGTTAGGTGGAATGGGCAGTATAATAAGTGGATTTATTCCATTTCCCTCTTGAAATTCATCACAAAAGTTTGAACCACTACTACTCCCACTAATGTTAGTATTTTCAAGGATTTCAGCATGTCGAGTCTCGACAATTCGGGTGGTATGAGATGGGCAATAGAACCTATATCCCTTAGATCTCTCGGGATAGCCAATAAAGGAACAACTAATGGTTCTCATGTCAAGTTTCTTCAATTGAGGATTATACACTTTTGCTTCAGCTGGACAACCCCACACTTTTAGGTACCTTAGACTAGGTTTCCTGCCCGTCCAAAGCTCATATGGAGTCTTAGGGACAGATTTAGATGGTACTCTATTCAGTATGTGGGTTGCTGTTTTTAAGGCCTCGGTCCATAAGAATTGGGGAAGATTAGAGTTAGCCAACATACTTCGGAGCATATCCATAAGAGTTCTGTTCCGCCTTTCAGCAACCCCATTTTGTTGAGGGGTGCCGGGCATGGTATATTGGTTGATGATCCCGTGATCTTTACAAAATTCATGGAAAGATCCAGGAGCTTGACCAATATCAGTGTGTCGACCATAGAACTCTCCACCCCTATCTGATCTCACTACTTTGATTTTTCGATCAAGTTGATTTTCAACTTCAGCTTTATAAGCCTTGAACATATCTAGTGATTCGGATTTTTCCTTAATCAAATATAGGTACATATAGCGTGAATAATCGTCTATGAAAGTAATAAAGGACTTATGACCACTTATGGAATCGGGAAAAGGCTCACAAATATCGGTGTGTATTAATTCTAACAAACCAGTGCTTCGTGTGGCGCCTTTCTTAATTTTCTTAGACAATTTCCCTTTCAAACATTTCACACACTTGTCATAATCTGAGAAGTCAAGATTTGGAAGAATTCCGTCTTTCACGAGTCTTATCATTCGATCTCGTGATATGTGGCCCAACCTTTGATGCCACAAATTAGACGACGATTCCAATTCTCTCTTTCTCTTACAAGGATTTTCAGTTATATTAAATGACAAAGGGGATTCCATAAAATTAGTATCTAAGCATAATTTATAGAGATTTCCCTCCATGCTACCAAATCCTATTACATTTGAGTTCAAGCTTATTGTCACTTTATTGTACACGAAATTAAATGTAAAACCATCAGCACTTAGTTTCGATACAGACACTAAATTACGAGTAATATTAGGTATATAAAGAGCATCACGAAGATGAAGAATGAAGCTACTCTCTAAAATTAATGAGATAGATCCAATGGCCTCCACTTCTAATTCTTCTCCGTTGCCCACCTTAATCACTCTTTGCTTTCTTCCCAATGTCCGGATTGAATGGAATCCCTGCGGTGTGTTTGAAACATGAACCATTGAACCAGAGTCAATCCACCAAGTATTAAGGGGAACTGATGTGTTTAATGATTCATAAATTACATAGGTGGTTAAGTTACCTTTCTTATTCAGCCATGCCTTAAACTTAGGGCACTCCCTCTGGTAATGCCCTTTGAAGCGACAAAACTTACAGTAAGGACCGGAGCTCACGCTTGCACCTATCTTTGGGACCTTAGAAATGTTACCTTTTCCTCCTCCTTGACGATTGCCTTTCCTTTTCTTTGAGTTTGTGGTGGTGAGATGAGCAACATCTGGTCTTTCAACTTTAAGACGCTCTTCTTCTTGAACGCACATAGCAATCAACTCGCTCATTGTCCATTTCTCTTTCTGCGTGTTGTAATTGATCTTGAACGGACCATAAGATGCAGGTAGAGAAGTCATTATGAAATGAACGAGGAAACCTTCACTTATTTCCATGTCCATACTTTTGAGCTTATTGGACATATCAGACATTTTCATGATGTGCTCACGAATACCACTCACTCCATCATACTTACTCGTCAACATTTTGAGAATCAAGGTACTAGCATGTGCTTTAGAAGTGCCCTTAAACTGTTCTTCCACATATTCTAGGTAGGTTTTCGCATTTTCTGAGTCTGGAATGGCTCCGCGAATAGCTACAGATATGGAATTCTTGATCACCATGAGGCACATTCTGTTGGACCTCTCCCACTGTTCATAAGAACGCTTCTGCTCCACAGTGCTCTCAACGTTAGGAGCATCCGGTGGATCCATTCTCAGTGCTTGGTCGAGGTCCATCATGCCAAGTGAGAGTTTTACAGATTCTCTCCATGTTGAGAAGTTTGTACCATTTAGAGGTTCTATCCCATAATTGTATGGGGTAACAGTAGATGCTGAAATAAAAGTTTTAACAGAGGTAATAATAGAAGCTATTTATTATATATAAGGGAATACAATAAGGCATGTCAATTATTAGTAAATAAGCCTATTATCAACACCAAATAATAGGAAAAATTCATATCATGTTTAATAACTAACATTGCGTTGGCTAATGTTAAGTATCAAACATTATGATATTAAAATTAAAATTAGGCTCCAAATTGTGTCACATATCACCTTTGGGAAGAAATATAACACATTTTATTATGCTTAAATTTCATTACATAAGTTATCAAATAACACACCTTTGAGTTTGTTAAAAGAAAACTCATATAATTTTTTAAGATTGTTAATGTTGTATCAAATGACTTTCCGTTGGGCCAATCATTTGATTTAACACTATGAGACAAAAAAAAAATATGCCATTCGTATGGTTTGGTCTTGCACATATTCATTAATACAATTTCAGATTATTAACATATGTGTTTAAAGGAGCATTATGTGCATCTAAACTAAGTTCTAGTCTGCAATTAAAGTGGTATTCTCTACGTTATTCATTCTGAAAAACATTTGCAGATCTAAAACCAAACTAGTACATCGTTTATGTGTTAATATTGATCATCTTAATCAATAACACAAACAAGCAAAAATTATATGCACTGTTTAGCAGATTGCACTATGCACTTAAGTCCATACATCCTGAAAGTTTTGATTATTTTGATTCATCTTTGAACCACCGAATGCATATAAAAAAGGTCAAATCAAAACTAAATTAGAGATGAAGAATTAACATCATGCTTTTAATGGTGTCAGTACTAATTCATTACACCACGGTTGAACAACTAAAAGCAAACAAAGTGATTGAGATCAAAATTTGAGTTTTTAAAAAGAAGAACAAAGCATCGATCATATATGAAAAGAAAATTGATAGCGCCGGTTAATGTCGGCAGTTAACTTATTTATACAACAGGAAATTAATATACTACTAACACATTTAAAGCCATCGCTTTCATATAAAATTATATGAGAATTTGCAGAGCATCATCAAACAACGGAAATCATATGCTCAGGATAATGGAAAATTTCTTTCAATCCCGAACTGAATGATTATTATTAGAATATAAAGAAATTAAAGTAAGTAGTTGCATTTAGAAGACTTGCAGAATCACAATCAGGTCTTCCCAACCAGAAAGTCATGAACGGCGAAAACTAGAAATTGCGTAGGACAAATCAAACTTCGAAATTTATCAATTTAAGTGAGAATTAACGGGCTCTGATACCATATGATGATAAATTCAGTCCCAAATAAGAATCTAATCTCACAAACATGATAAAATTCATAGAATCAAACAATAAGAACACTAACCGGTTGAGGAGAAACCGAATGTTGATGGTGTTGTAGAAGAAGATGAAGCCATTGATGTGTAGATTCTCTAAGGATACAAATCCCTACTGTGATGGATTGATCGGTTCTCATATGAGTCTCTTTTATAATGGTGTTCGAGACCCTTGGTAAGAAGCGTATCTTTTCCTTTTGTCGTAAGAGTGAGAACCGAACGAGTACTTATGTTTGTATCAAAGAGAAAACCCATTTGATCCATTATGTATTATTTAATGTTAAAACATACCCATAATATGTTAACAATACATAAATCAGGGACCAAATCTGTCACATGACAAACTTAATGGTAAGACATAAATGTCCCCAAAATATATTAAATTATATAAATGGTCCAAGGACACTTAAATGGAATATTTTCCAACACTACTGTCATTGTGCTGATTGATCTACTATGAAATTTCTCAAACTTTTGTAAAATTGTATCCTTCCTTGTAGGAATTAGATGGATAAATGTTTTTTTTTGAAGAAGTTTTTTTCGAAGAGAGTAATAAAAGGTTAAAAACTACTCCGTCGTAGAGCACGCGAACTAGCGAATGGGAATTGGCCGCGTGAACTGAAAGTGGAAATCCCACTGCCACTAATCCCACTATCACGTGGCCTCACATCTCTCCCCTGTGCGCAAATAATAATACGCACATTTACGCAGTGTTAAATACGATCAAGAAATCACTTCCTTTGCTCCGAAGTTAATTGCCAGCCTCGACGTTTTCTTAGCCTCATCGCCTTCTCCACCCTGACAACAACCCTATATATCCCAAAGACTCTTTCTTTCTTTCCTTCCGCTGCGAGCTTGCATCCTATTCCTGCTCAAATTCGGTTAGTTCCCTAGCTCCTCCAAGTCAACTCTAGGGTTTTCATTTCTTTCCGATTGGATGAATGAATCACCTTGCATTAGATGCGTGTTTCTTGGATTTTCGGCTCTGTGCATTATCTATTTAAATTCCCATTCTTGAATCATTCTTGAAAAATATTACGTATCTGATTTCATGTTGTAACTTTTCTACCAATGGGTTTCATCTTTCTTGAAATCTAGGCATCCTTGTTGTATGCATTTCATGACTCTTCCCATTTTAGGATTTTGTTTCTTTGATTTTTCTTGGAAGTTGATGTTTATTCTTGGTTATTATTGATGTAGTTGCTGCGTTTTAAGTGATCAGGAATTCAATTCTGATGCTCTGTGGTTAGGTTGTATAGTGATTTTTGCCTTACACTTTACTAATGCAGTTGGAAATAGTGGAGGTGAAGTTTTTGTGTTTGGGGCCTTGCTTTTACTTTTGCATCTTTTTGAGTAGCTTAAGCAAAAATAAGGTTTTGTTGTGTGAAAGAAGAATTTTTGAAGGTGAAGGTGGTCTCATGAGAATTGTTAGGGGAATGCAGAAATTGATTCAAGAGGAGAAGAGGGATTCTGGCTTCTACTCAAAAAACTCATTCAGCCAAGGGATTGGTGTGACTGCACCGAAGGCCAGGAAGCGTGATAAAGTGAAAGCCAAGATTTTCATGTTCCTCTAATAATTTTGGTTAGATAAAATAGTTGTAGACCTACAAAATGACTCGGATACTTGTTCAACGGGGTACTAGCGGGTCATCGTCCTCATCATCATCGAACCAAAACAGACCATTATCGTCACTGGCTAGTTCATCATCTTCTTCTTCAACTCCCGTTCAGCCGCAAACAAATAGCAATGAACCTGGAGCAGAGATTCAAGATCAGATTTCTTTGGACGAGTTACCAGTTGATGGTTTTGTGAACAAGTCAGTGAAATCTGAGGACTCTTCACCAGAAAATTCGAACATTAACTTGATCTCCCATGAAGTGAATATAGTGGATAATAATGATTTTGTTTCTGATGATCTACTAAAAGGACTTGGTGGATTGAGAGTTGTGGAAGAAGAGGAAAATGATGGAAGTTCTTCGCGAACAGCATCTGGTAGTTCATATCCTCCTCCTCCTCCTTTGCCACCCCCAAAACCTGCTTCTATGAATAATTCAATCTCGAAGAGGTATCCAACTGGCAGTTCAAGTGCTTTGCGAACCAGGTCCCGGCCATCTTCCCCCCGTTCTCACTGTGAAAGTGAAGGTTATAACAGCGCTGACGAACAAAGTCCATCTTTTGGTCCCTCCTATGATGATGCAGTAAGTGCAGAGCAGTTCTAGTGTTTTGTACTTGAATAGTGTCTGTCTGTCTGCATATCTATGTTACTAGTATTTTGGAGAATTTAAAATGCAATTCTAATTACTTGTAAACATCTCTACTTGTATCAGGAAAGAGAACGTCAATTTGAAATTGACCTGAGACAAGTTAAAGGTCTGGAAGTGAAGAAAATGATGGAAGATGGAAACTGCCTCTTTCGAGCAGTTGCTGACCAAGTGTATGGTGATTCTGAAGCTTATGATTTGGTTAGGCAGATGTGCATTGATTACATGGTAATTAAAACCTTTTTGGCAGCCAGATTTCAATTAGTCAATTCTGACACAGCCTGATAAGCTACTTCTGATTTTGTAGTACATTTTCGTTTGGGTTTTAGGGGGTATGTGTGGAAGGATTTGGATCCTAACTTTTGATTTATCCTCAAATCTCATATTACATAGGAAAATACTTTCAGCAATCTGCTGAACTGGTGGTTGTTTGAATTTGCATGTAGAGCACGCTTGAAATATAAGTGTAGCTTTACTGTCGTGGAATAGTATGTCCTTTTAGAGGATATGCAAGAATTTATTACATTTAGTTCTCTTATTTTTTTAGCCTTGTAATGATTTAATAAGGTTAGTGGTAAAATCAGACGGTAGGTTGTGACGTGTGCATGCTTTATATGGTTTTCATGTCTTACTCCATCTCTCTATCTCCTCTTTTTCACTGATTTGATTACCCAGATCAAGGAACCACTTGGCTAGTTGGTTGTCTTAAATTTATTGTGCTGGTCATATTCACAACATGCAATTAATAGACATGTGTTGTATTTTTTGTTTTTATGTATTATAACTTGATTTTGTTGGTAAGTTCTTCTGATCTGGTCTAATCATTGATCGTCTATTGTTGTTTCTGTTCATTTATTGGTTATAATTGTTTCATGTATTCAACTAATTTTATGTTTTCTTTTCTAGGAACGTGAAAGAGACCACTTCTCTCAGTTCATAACAGAAGGTTTCAGTTCATATTGCAAGAGGAAGAGAAGAGATAAGGTATATGGTTTAATTGATTGTTGAAATGAAAAGTTATTTTTTTTGACTATTTTATCTTGTTGCAAGCAATCTTTGGGTTACCTGTTGAGAATTTGTGCTATTGATTTATAAGTTATCAAGTACTCATATTATGTTAATAAATTCATGTACGGAACAAATAACCAAGCCTATTATTTGGGATGTTTTATGAAGCATGGGGGATTGGAGGTGTTTGGATGTCATTATGGTAGTATGCAACCTGACCTGAAATGTATATTCCTTATATTGTGGAATATTACAAGTTTTTCGTTAAATACCTTTTAGAATTGGAATAATTTATATCTAAAAGTTTGGGCATTACCCCTTCATTGTAGGTTGACCAATGTTTTGGTCAAACACTTTTTATGGAAAAGCTTCTTTATGATAATTTTATTCTGCTTTATTAAATCCAACTGCATACAATAAATACTCTAGCGAATCTTACATTGTAATTCCTAAGCTACATTTCCCCAACTGGATGGACATATATTTTTATTATACCAAGATCATCTGTACTAATGGTTTGTAAACCTACATACTAATCTGATTCTTGTGGTTTTGGATGGCAGGTTTACGGTAACAATGTGGAGATCCAAGCGTTATGTGAAATGTACAATCGGCCAATCCACATATATTCATATAGCACAGGTGGCCTTTTACTTCAAATTATGATGAAAATTTCTAACCATCTATAAATATCAAGCTTCCTTGCCCATAGCAAATTTTACTTAATGGAGTTACTTGGCGTATGCAGAGCCGATCAACACATTCCATGGAAGTTATAATACAGACACCCCTCCCATCCGCTTAAGTTACCATCACCGTAATCATTACAACTCTCTTGTTGATCCCCGTCGGCTAACAATCGGTGCGGGACTCGGTTTTAGCTCTTTGCAAGGGGTAATAGTCTAAAATCAAACATTTCCATACCGTTTTGCTTAATAAATGCTTATATTGCTATGATGATTCATGTGATTTCTGGTACTACAGAGGAGTGTTGATAAGGATCAAATAAAAGCAGCAATTAAGGCACAACAAGACCAACAAATTGATAAGACCCTTCTAGCTGAGGGATGCTTTTACTCGGATCTTGAGCTGACTGAGAAAGAAATAGAACGTATGGTGATGGAAGCTTCTAGGGCAGAATATCTTGCCAAACACAAGTTAAAGCAGCAACCTGGTCACAGAGAATCGTCCACCTCTGGTGCTGAACCATCATCTTCTGGAGCTAGTAAGTGCGAGTTTCCCTTGAATTGTTTCCAGGAAAATGACTAACTTTCAAGAAAGCAACTTCCTGTTTCAAATATGGAAAGTTAGGTATGCAAGGGAAATGCTCAGTTAAGGGAAATAAGATGCAAGGAAAGTTACTTTGTGCGTGTTTCGTTTCAAATGCAAATGAAATATGCTCACTGCTTTTACCCATCTTTATTACTCTTTCAACGGTCAAATTGCATCTTCGTTTTATTTTATTTTCTTCTATAGCTTAAAATTATATACACAGTAGTTATACAGTGCTTGTTTTGTAGAACTTTTGTCGTAGTTTCTACTTTCCAACACATTTCTTTCCGTTCAAATTCCCTTTTCTCTCTATTTTCCCTCCATAGATCTTCGGTGTTCTTTCCATAGTATTTTCCGATATCCAAACATACACCTAGAGAATTAAGATCATTATTTTACTTCGGGACAACATATTTTCTGGTGCCAAACACACAAAACATGGGATAAAGTATTTATAATATTGGTAAAAATATTAGCCATTTAGTTGTTGGCTGACATGGATTATAGGGTCACCAGGAAGTGAGAACAGGCAGGAAGGAGGGCGGGAGGTTTCAAGGTTGCCAGAATGTGTTCTCAGTGACAGCATGCAAATTATGCTGTCGATGGGATTCGGGTATTCACAGGTGATTGAAGCTTACAGCATCTTTGGAGAAGATGTGGACTCCATGGTCTGTTACCTTGTAGAAACCAGCAGTAGCAGTAGCAAAAGACGCAAAGGAAAGGCAACAGAGTAATTGTGGTTTCTCTTATAGATTGTTATTAAGAATATTGTTCTCTCATTTGTCGAACTATAAACTGCTGCTAGTAGTATTGTTAATCCAATCTATACACTTTGTTGGTGTATCCTTCTGCATTTGTGACACCCTCTTTGTTTCATCGTCTACTTAAAGTCACCTCTAGGCTCTAACTTGCAACCATCATCACATGGAACACCACTTCCCTAACCTAAGCTTTGTTGAAAGAACTTTACAATCTTCTTTTTACATGTATTTAACAATAGCCGCTCCTGTCCAAGTGCTTAAGGTCGTGATCATTGATGTAAATACTAGCGAATAGTGTTAAGTCATGTTTTCTCAAAGGCAATTCCCAAAATCTAATAAAAGTCATGTTTTCAAAATAAGACTGTCATGTTTTTTATTCCCAAAATAGGACTAATTACTGTCATGTTTTTTATTCCCAAAATAGGACTAATTACTGTCATGTTTAGAAAATACTGACATGTTTGAAGTTTGGTATCGCCAAAACATGACAGTAATTAGTCCTATTTTGGGAATAAAAATATGACAGTCCTATTTTGGAATTTTCAAACTGTTTTAGTCCTATTTCGGGTAATATCTCATATATATATATATATATATCTAAGAATGTTCTTTGGATTTTTTGGATTGTGGTGACAGGAACTTGGTTGACTTGTGTGACTCGTGTGAGAAGAGGTGATGTCCGTAGTTTAGGAGGCTGTGTGTTATACTTTTCTCATGGCCACAGTGAGCAGGTTTAGTTTTTGGAAATTTATCGAAATAGGAGTAAAAACCATGTGATATTCCAAAATAATTAGAAAAGTTGAACGCACTATATTGTATCAAAGTTTTTTGTAGTGTGACTTAACTATGAAATTGTACATGGTGAGGTGATACGAATATGGTTAAGATAAAAATAACCTAGGGGTGGACTCGGGTCGGGCCACCCGGCCCGCTACTGTGCGGGACCGGGACCGGCCCGGTTCTCGGGTCCGGGTCGGGCCTAGGCCCGGGGGGTAGGGCGGGTCCGGGCTCGGGTCTCAAGTTTGGTGAACCGGCCCGGCCGGGTCGGGCCCGGGCCCGGGCCAAATTGATTTTTTTATTTATTTTTTTTTTTCATTTTTGGGGTTCCACCCGGGTTGGGCTTGATGGGTAGGATGGGTTTGGGGGGGTTTGGGAGGGTGGGGGGTGAGGGGGGGGGGGGGTTAGGAAAGCAAAAAAAAAAAAAAAAAATTCCAAACCGGAGGCCCGATCCGGCCCGGACCGGACCCGGTGGCTACCCGGGCCGGTCCTGGGTCCACCATTCTTGAACCGCCGGCCCGCCCGGGCCTAGGCCCGACCCGGACCCGGCCCGGACCCGAGTCCACCCCTAGAATAACCCAAGGCATACTACTATATATGATGTACTCCGTATCACTTTGCACAATAATCTAATGAGACTTTTTGTGCCTAAAGAAGCAAGGCATAAAACCTCATGAGAAAAGTCCTCTTACTAATTTGACGTGAAAGAGTTTGAAATAAATGTGCAGATTTGTGTATGGATATTTTATGGCCTTTACTGAATATCTGAGAAAGAGTATATGAGAAACAAAAACAATTTATAGCAATATGAGAAACCAAATTATAGCAGCATGAGAAAATTTTAGTAAATGAAAGTTTTAAAAGTCGGGTGAAAACAATTTATAGCAATATGAGAAATTTTTAGTGATAATTTTTAGCATCCTATATAATACGGAGTATTTATTTAGGTTCACAAAGTTAGATACGACTATACGAGTAAATGATTACTATATAAAATCTTCATTTTGACCCAATATACTCCTTAGATGTCTTATAGATAAAGTATAAGAATTCATTAGAGAATTGAAACTAGTGTTGGACTCGGGCCGGGTGGCCCGACCCGGGACCGGTACTGTGCTGAACCGGCTTGGCCCGGTGGCCGGGCCAGTGTCCGGTCCGGGTAGGCCCGGCCCGGGGGTTCCCGGTGCGGGCTCGGGTCACCCAAAAGCTGAACCGGCCAGGCCGGTTCGGGCCCGGTTCCGGGCTTTTAATTTTTTTTTCATTTTTTTTAACATTTCGGGTTGGGCTGAGTATTTTGGGCCATTTGGGGTGGTTTGGTGCCTAGGCCCGACCCGGACCCAGCCCGGCCCGAGTCCAACACTAATTGAAACTTGGCTATCCTTGGGCAAGAAAATATCTTGTTTCACTTTTAATTCGTATATTGTAGTTTCAATAAGAGGTTTTTGATGGCGTGATGGCTATTTTTTTGAGATGAAGTATATTAGTAATAAGGACCTTTTCACACAACGACGAAATGAAGCCGAGTATGTAGAAGTTGATGCATATATGATTTTGTAATTGCGATATTAAAGAGAAGAGAGCAACAATGATTGATTTGTTGTACAAATATTAAAATTAACACAAAAAATATATACTTCAAGTGAGATTTAACAAAACATTTTCTTTTTAATGCATAGAGAAAATTGTTAATCTTTGAGTTAAGTAAAGATGACATACATGTTGAAAACTTTCAAATTAATGAGAAGTCAATACAAGTTTAAATCATGTATATTTAAACTCAACTTTAACATAACTCTAAAGCTTATTTTTATCCATAACATAAACTAAGTAATTGATTTAGATATTTGTCCGTGCACCGCACGGGTGAAAATATAGTAGAATGACATGGGTGGAGCAAAAATAATGGACACAATAAGATACATTATTTAATCGCAGAATAATTAACCATAAAGTATAAAGGAACTGAGTATATAAACTAATTAAGTATAAGAAGTACAAAGGCAACCAATCGTACCTAGTGCACGAAACTTACACATGCTTAGCTTTGTGCACAAAACTAGCACGAAACTTACACATTTCATATGTTGGCTATGAACTCAAAGCCTCAAATTTAAACATACTTCAACTACATTGATCGACTAGTTTTCTATTTTACAAATTACAAAACATAACTAATGGTCTGCAGCTCCAAGCTAAGTCATTTACCATTGTGAGACTTTGATTCCTTGAGCACATGCACTGTAGAAACGTTTACAAGTTTATGAAAATGTCATCATGTTATAAATGCACAAAAATACCATATGAAGCTAATTAGATGAATTAAATAAATAAAAATATGATTTGAAACTAATAAGGGAGTAACTTTCTTTTGTAAATCATCAATTACTAACCATGTTGGGAAATATCATGATTATGATATGGTGACAACTCTTTTCCATCAACTTTCTTTTGAAACCAAACATATAATTAATAAGTTCTTTTCATTGAGATCATTAAATCACACAAATTTCACGTGTCATATGCAGAAGCCTTATATAGTATCGTGTATGCACGCACCTGAACTTTCATCATGAGTATGTTGTGTTAAGAGATGAAGTTCATTTCCCCACCGGAAATGATCTATTATAGTAGAATCTGTCAAGATAGAGAGTTGTGCTAAGTTACTCTAGGTAGTTATGGTCTATGTAATAATAATCATACATCAGTGTAATGTTGTTATGGAAATTTCATATGAATGATACATGTACCTTTTATATTGAACTATTTGGGTGCATACCTTCACAAAGAATTGTTTCATCAATCGAAGATTCTGTGAAGAAATCAATGAGTGACGGAGCAGTGATAGAAGTGTTTTCCACTTCTTCATTATTGATCATTATTGTCCAAGGTGATACTCTTAGTGGGAGATTTAGATATTTATAGGATTCATCCCACTTTACCTTCAATGAAAAAGATTTGAACATGAATAAAATGATTGTGGTATAGAAAATATAGTGGATGTGAAAGTAGAAGACTCAAATTTTGATATAAAATTATGTAAATACTCCGTCAATCCCTTAAAGATCTTTCTGCTCTTCTTTTTAGGACGCTCCTATTAAAAATCCCTTTTCCTTATGTAGTAAACAATTTCACATCAATTTAGCCTCAAGTGGTTATGACTGTAACGTCCAACAATATCAGTCCAAGTGTCAAATAGTGTAAAAGAGTTACGTTCTATATAATAATATTTACCCTCAAAAAATGGATATTTCAGGAGTGAAGTGAAATATCTATCTTTATTTATTAATGTATGTTCTATTTAAACTAGGGAGTTCTTTAAGGGGTGAAGGTACTATTATTAGTCATAGAGTATTAATTTACTTTCAATAAAAAGATGAATATTTTATAGCATGGAGAATTTAGTTTACCTTGATACAACGCCATTCTGAGTTTGGCCATTTATTTAAATCAACATCTCCAACCTCAACAATATCACCAGATGCCCTATTCAATGAGGCATAAATTCCATGTTAATTAGCTACATAGTTTAAATGCATATTCTCCATTCCAACAATTTAGCATACAAAGTATATTATAAAAATGTTATCATTATTATCTATAAGAATCATTCACTAACATTATGAATCCCATTAGATTAGGATACACATCTCTCCTCTGGTAATCCATTGTGATTCTGTTTTCATTCACATGGTTCAAACAATAAGCCTTCATGTATTGTTCATACTGAATTAGAAACTTTGCAGGGCAAATCCTGTAGATTATGAATAAAAATGCATGCATACACATTAAGAAGTATGTACACATTGATCTGGATGGAAACAAAATCATAGAAATGTATCAAAGTTTGAGTTACTCTACCAAGGGTAGTAGTATATTGTAAATGCAGTATTGGTATGTAGAGCAATGTAGGCATCCAACAATAAGCCACGTATCATGCTAGAGCATGATATTGCCGGTGCAAGTAATTTTCTTGGATTTGTTTTGCGTCTGAATCCAACCCACAACTCATTATCAACTCCTCTGTAAAAAATACAAAAGAAAGGGAAAACTAGTATTGTATTATCTCTCCCCCCCTCTCTATACACACAGGTTTGGTTCAAATAAGAACATGATCTTAGGAGAGAAATAAGAATGAATCTAGACCGTTAAATTTGCTTTTAGTGAAATTCAATGTGCATTAGATGAACTGTAATGTACATTAGGTGAAATTGAAATATGCTGTACAAAGGGTACGATACGGTGGCTTTATGTGAAAGGTACGACATGATGTTATTTTTGTACCTTTTATTTCGCACATTTTAGTGTCACATAATGCACACATGAGTTTAAATTTTTATTCTTCACATTTCAATATCACCTAATGCACATTTCAGTTTCACAAAATGCACAATTCAATTCCACATAATACAATCCAACGGTCTAGATTCATTCTCATTTCTCTCATGGGAGTTCGTTCTTATCGGAATCGCTTCATATATATATAGGAAAAATTGTAGGGGTAGTGGGTAGTGTAGAAAAAAATAAGAGAGAGTGAAAAAGTATGAAAGAGAATATGCAAAGTAGAAAACTTATCAAAGAGGAAGTGTGTCAAACAAAAAATACTTCCCAAATGGAATAAAGAGACTATATATTTATTGTGAGTGTATTCATAAAACAACATATACCTCACAAAGAAGCAAATATCCCCGGCCACAAGACTCTTCCGTTGGACAAATGTGTTCCAACCACCCAGAAGAATGTAGCGCTTTGGATTGCCTGCATCAGGATATAATTACCTAAGTCAAACTATTAACATTTGAGCATAATATAGTATTAAGCACAATGTACAAAATACATATTGACCTTAAGTATATTTTTGTAAGTGTAATACCATTTATATCCGTTATCAATAAGCTCTAAGTGCAAAACTAACTTCGATGCACACCAAATTCAAGATTTGTTTGTAAACATTCACAAAACTTTTAGAGTTACAATTTTTTTCTCTTAAAATTGATGATTCAGTAATGTATTGACTAGTTCCGTTTTCGTCAAAACTACAATCTGCTTGAATAAATATGTCAACCTATTTTATGACTATTATTTCATTGAATATGCAATGGTTTGCACTTTGCACTACAAGCAAAATAGAATTGTCACCTAAGTAACAAATTTCAATGAGATCAATAAATAATGGTTTCATTTTGAATTAAACATTTATTACTCCCTCCGTCCCTGAAAATTCTTCCCACTCACCTTTTTGGGACGTTCCAAAAAATTCTTCTCATTTCCCTTTTGGAAACTTTTGTGTGGCTACCATTCATTTACTCTTCTCTTACTCAACCACAACCATACATTTTCACTTTATTCTCACTTTCTTAAACTCCGATCCAAGTCAAACAAGGTAGAACTTTGCAGGACGAAGGGAGTAATATGTATGATATGTGTATTTTACATCATACTGTTTCGGTCATTCAAACTAGGAACTTATCAAAGAAAGAGTACTGTTCCATGCATGAACTCTCCCAAATTATGTTTCTTACCCATTTAATTGATTAACAAAGCAAAAAAAAGTTTCATTATATGGGTTTGCATAATATTCACACAATTCATTATAGCATATCTATTATAGGATATTTGTAGTACAATCAACTTTAACATGCCTCATGTTGTATATTTCAAAAATGTAGGAAGTTTTTGAAAAATATGTGTTTTTAAAAATTTTGTGAGGTTTTTTGGGATGAATAATTAGAAACATGACTCCTTCTACTAATATTAAAATGCAATTACTAAGATCTTCCCTACGGTAGGCCATAAATTAAAGCTATTACTAATAACTGGGCCGATTAAAATGCATAATGGCCCATAGGCATTTGAAAATTTTGAAAAATAGTGGGCTTAGATATGATAAAACAGTTGGCATTTGCTTAAACTCTTCTTAAGGACCTTATTGAGTTGCCCACACCTAGCTGCTATAAGTCCTACATAGAGAGTGGAAGGTGTTTTAGGTTTTGATTTGAACTCAGGGTGAAATTGAACTCCAATGAAGTAAGAGTGACTAGACAACTTTCATCTTTGCCTGTGAAAGATAGAGCAACAACTCCGAGTTGTTCTGCCATTTCTAAATTCAACTCATTTAATTTTGCCAAACTACAGTTTGTAATCTCAAAATATGTCCTCCTAAATCCAAGTCACATTGTCCCTTCCATGTGAGTTTTTGAACTCTCAAGGATAACTTTAGTGTGAGTTTTTGTAAACATGCCATTTATGTACTCTTGAACTCTATTTCAATATGGTTTTCAAAAGAGCCAATGAGGTTAAACCACATAGTTATTAAAATAAGTATGACACACTTATCCATTCTCATATGTATATTACCGATATATGAAAGGGTGAATGACCATTGATCCCCATGCAAATCCTTTGCCATGAAACTCTTTTTATGCAATTCCTGGAACGTGCCCAACTACAACAGTAAAAGAAATATATATTGAACTATATCTCATACAAAAGAATTTAAATCCAAAGTTATTATTAATTTTATTTTGTACGTAAATTTTTGTTGACAAGTAATTAAATAAAAAAGGTTAAGAAACTATTATAATAAAAGATCCCTACAATGTTACTTACCAATTGTGTAAAAAATTCTTGACCCACTGCTTTAGGGAGATGTAGTGCAGCAGGATCGCCAATGTCTGATGGGTTGAGCCTTTTGAAGAAGAAATTTGAACTATCACTAGTCATAAAGCAATAGGATGACACTTTTTCCCTAGATGATGAACTTTCTCCTTTTTGAGCGGGATTTGACTGATAAAATGATTTATAATATACGATATTATTCAAATATTTTATCAACAACAATATCATAAATAAATTCAACTTTTGTTTTTCTTTACCTCAGGAAGTAAATCTATCTTTGCAAACACTTCATCTGTTTTTGCATCAACCTACAAAAACCATGTAATGCATTTTGATCTAACAGAAAAAGAAAACATATACAATGAGAAGAAATTTGATCTTCATATAAGTATAAGATTGATTAATGCTCTATATACCTGCAACTCAGAATGAATAACCTTGCAGAGAAACTTGTTTGGTAATTTATTAATGTTTGCTACATCTGAACCTTCACCTTCAGTTGCTACAAGTGCTTCAGTCTACACAAGACATCATATTAAGTAGTCAATAAATGAGTAATAATACTCCAAGGAAGCAATATAATATTAAATCTATAAATAGTAGTGCTAAAAGTAAGAAATATTGGCTAATATATGACTGTAATATGGATGTTGGAAAGATGCTACTTAATATCCACAATGCTCATAGTACTAACTTTTAATAAATTATGACCATGTTCAATTTTATTTGTTAATTTTTAGTGACCATGCATATATATTATTAACAACTTTAATGTCACTTTTTCCATATATTTTATTTGAGTAATATTTTAAGAAAACTGCAAAAGTTAGACCTGTTCAATGTGGCCTTGGGGAAAGTAGAAAACAAAGTCTCCTACTCTAGGCACATCACGTTGTCCAGCACAAGCAAACCACAGTCTCTCACGGTCTGCATCAATTTCATCTAGCAAATCAGCATGAACTAAACACTATAAGATCATCATAGATTAAAGGCAATATTTGTAATAAGTGTGATATGTGCAAATCAATTCCATATCATGAAAATGTATGATACTTTTGAATTACATGATGATATAATGAAAAATACTTTAAACAAAAGATCTCTACTCATTCCATGTCTTTTATGTAACATATTTGCAAACACATGATCAACTGTTGATAATTTAACATCAGTATTTTTTATACAACCTTCTAAATGTGAAGTAATAGGTAGTTGAAATTCAATATAATCGGTGCAAATAGAGCTTAGCCATTAGATGTATGACAAGTGTCAACAAATGAGGAATGATCACAAGGTATCTACCTAGATTATATCAACAGATTATTCTCCAAAACTAAATGGAAAGGAATCACCGAAATCAACTTTTCTTTATTTAGTTGCTACTACAACTTCAGAAAATAAATAGATGTATATCTACCTTGATCAATGCACCATCTCTGAGGACCTTCATTTTCAATCGGCTTTTCCATGGCAATTACATCTTTCCCTTTTCCCTCATACTCCATCTTCTCCATCTCTTTTGACTAGCTTGCACAAATTAAACGGAAAGCTTTTGATTGAAAAATGAGTATCTGGAGAAAGGAAGAAAGGATGAAAACAACAAAAAATGTATAAATGGAGCAAATCAAGATAACTAGGAAGGCCGAATTGATCAAACTATCTGAAGAAAGCAACAAAGAAGAGAGATATATTCATATTGAAGCATTGGCTTCTCCGCCCGCTAGAAATGAAAATAAATTTACCTGGAAGCTTATGCTTCTCCACCCGATATATATTCAAAATGCTAAATTTAGAAATGATACCATTTTGACCTTTGAAACACTTAGTTTATTGTGAAAATAGAAACAATTAGCACATCATTACAACTGAATCAATTTCATACATACACTAGGTTTGAAGGTTTCACTAGACTAAACCTACGCCTTTAGGAACCAAATCCAGGAGAAGGTATATCTAAAACTTTTCCATCCCTCACTTTCAAGTATAGGTCAATAATTAAGAGGAAAATTGTTTTGTGTATGCCATTTATAATAATGTGAGTCAAATTACAAT